CTTCATGACGTATTGTGACGTCATTACAAGGAATTTACATGGGAATCACCAAGCAGTGTTGCTAAGAACAGAGCCTGAGGAAATTACTCATCGTTTTGAAATGACATTATGTACTTGATGATTTAGGGAGTATTATTTGGGAGTTATATGCAGAAAGTTAGAAAGTAAGACTTACTTAAGATAATAAGGTTGTTAATATAGAAATATGAATAGATATAAACAGACCGTTTACTGTAATGTATGTTTTTGATGTCTTTAGAGTGGTATTTGGGTGGTTGCGAAGTCCGCCAAACCACTGATTTTTATTAGAGTGATCTTCCTGACTTTTAGCGTTCGAAGCTAATCGGATATTAACCGACTTAGGAGAAGGGAAGTGTGACGTTAACCACGATATCGACAATTGCATAGAACAACACATCAGTCAACAATGGTGAAGGTATTCGAGAGAATTAAAATGTTTGCTATATGGTAACGATATTTTGTGGAATAATAAATTATAACTTCTTTTTTTGCATGTATACGATAAGAAATAAACAGAACTTTAGGATTCATTTTGGAACAGTTAGTCTGTGTTGACCAATATGTTAATCCACAGTAATATGAACTTATTTGTCCATCTATTAGTTAACTTTCACGACTTATCGTCTAAATGGATCTTAATGAAATTTGACATAAAGATAAATTGTATCATGAGTAGAGAAAGACTGTCTTTTATTTATAAACTAGCGACCCGCCCGGTTTCGCACGGATGCATTACAAATCTTTGAATGTCTTGGCTTGTTCTATACTATAACACGCATGTATTATACATATAAAATTTCCTTTTGAATAATTCTATCCATTGCTGCAAACTGCTTCAAATACCGTTGGGTAGTTTAAAAGATCTAAGCAAACAGACATTGGAAGCGGCTTTATTCATTCATGTAAAGATATTCAACCAAAGTCGTGGGTAATAGCTAGTTTCCTATATTTAGTAACGTTCAAAGTCAGTATTTTTGTAGAGCAAAATAATAAACAAAATTGAATAGAGCAGTTGTAACTCGATTTGCGCTCAAGTTCCTTTCACTCAGAGACTCGGTTAAGTTGTGCAATACTGTTAGATTATTTGCTATTTATAAATCGTGCACTATACCATAATCTACGTAATATATCTGCTATAGAGTTGCAATCACGTTGTTAGTTTAGTTTTTACTTAGGTATGAACTAGTTAAACCCGCTACTTTATACCCGTATGACTTATTTATTTATATTTATTACTAGCTGAACTCGCGACTTCGTCCATTTGGAATTTAACTTTATGTTCCTATAAAAATATTTTTTTCTAAAAAATAAGTAGCCTAAGTTACTCCTTATTACATCAGGTACCTGCCAAAAATAGTCCCGTCAAAATCAGTCCAGCCATTTCAGAGATTAGGCGAAACAAAGAAACAGACAAAAATTGTAAAAAATGTTATTTAGTGTATGTACCGTATTTATATTCATATGTATGTAGTAAAAAACGGTTATTTCAGTATTACAAACAGACACTCCAGTTTTATTTATATGTATAGATGTATGGATATAGGAATACCACATTCGTAAAACCTTTAAGAATATCATATATTGAAGTACATTACCTATTTAAGGTATTCGCAGAATTTGCTCAGATATTCCTCAGCTCAGATATTCCCCTCGGAGAAGCGGATGGCCGAATCTGTGAAGAATTTATCCACTTAAAAAAGGGTGTTGTTTATGTCCATTATGTACGAATCTGTTAAAAGAAGTATTTAAGTATTTCTATGAGTTGTTATTGGGTAATTATCTTAATGGATTATTAGTTGTTATTGGCTAAGTACCTTTAAGGATTGTATTAATCACAAAAAAAAGTATTATTACAAATACTAGGTAATACAAAACAATGCTAAATACCCACAGACAGACTCTGCTTGGTTTGGGCTGAATAGTGCTATGTGAATTGTCTTTGGATATTATTATTATTATGTACCTACATAGGATCGTACATTTTGTAACTAGAACCTACATAGGCTACACTTTAATTATAAGTTAAATTGAGTATGCCGTAAACATAAATAACTTATATAGCATAAAACCCGTAATCTAGATTATGTTATGAGATGCTCCAACGTACTACTAGGTATCGTAAAACTAATTAGTTGAAACTAGTAAATTAGTTTGTCTTATACTCACATAGGTATTATTCTGTGTTACTGTACGAGTGTATATATAAATTTTATATGTCAATACTAAACATAATGTAGATTATAAATGCGAAAGTGTTTCTATATCTTCCTTATTCACGATTAAATGAAATTTCATGTAAAAATCCATTAATATAGGCTAAGCTGTCACTTTGACAGACTCAGTGATGATCATCAAAAATTAGGCAGTTTAGGACACCGCCTAATTTTTGATGCTCGATGCAAACTTTTGTATTCTTGAATATGATTTTCGTTTTGTCTGTGTGTTTTTTAAATATTCACAAAAAAATATTTATTTAATTTATATCAGTTGACTAGTCACATGATACAAGCTCAACTTAACTTTGGACTACATGACGTTAGATGGATTGCGTGAATTGTACTGGGAATTATTATCACCTAAAAACAGACAAATTCTGAGAATATTAGATATATTAAAAACAATGTGTCGCTTCTATTAATACTGACATGCTTAATCTCTGACAAAACAATCGTATACCAATAAACATGTCTGTATTATAATTATAATATTTTCTACTATTTACATTAAACTTTGGTACAACATCAAATTAAATAAAAAGTACTGCTATTATTAAAAAGATTATGTACAAATTTAATATTAATCTATAAACTTGAAAAATATATAATATATTGCATTTTATAATATTATCCTAACTACATTATGTAACTTAAAGACACTTTATGTAAAAAATTGGCTGAAAAATGAGTAGGTAAGTTGAAATTGGAAGTAATATTGTATATTAATCAGTTTATAAACTATTCTTTTTTGACAGAATAGTTATATGTTTAACAATAAATGCCAATACTATTTAGTACCAAACATATTTTTATTTTCTGATTACTAGCCGTCAAAACATGAGGATGGTTTCTACTTCGACTTTAGTTTAAAATTTCTTTGTGTTACGCGATATTTTCGCCAATCCTGAATGGAATTTGATAACTCTCTATACAATGGATAGGATTCACTTTCGTGTTATATCAGTGAAATAAAGCCTTTATTTACTAATAATCAATTGTAATTACGAAGTTACTGTAGAAAAAAAAAATTGTGTCCGGAGTTAGCTGTACAATTGATCTAAATAAGTAGAGCAATTATTATGTTGTAACGATATATAGAATGTATTAAAAATTCATGAAAACTATTGCGACTCTTCCTGATCTCTCGTTGAACCTTGTTATCGTTCTGCATTCATTAGCATTCCATGAATATTCTAACAGTCTTTGGCTCGCTCCACTCAGTGCCTTCGTCACTCTCAAATAGCTGTCCCATTTGCCCTTAGAATTTCCTCTGTTTACGTTATTATTGACAAATTCTCTTCAGCGAGTTTGCTCGAAATAGTGGCCAAAATGATATTGATATCTAGTTGTTCTCGCGACTTTGTGCGCATTTATATTTATCTACTCAATTTATTCGTGATAATAAAACAACGACAATAAAAATGGGCATCAAAACTATGCTGTCTATTGTTCTATTACTAGATTAATAAATCAAATAGAAGGTGGCAGATTGAAAATATTTATAAATTGTTATTGTAACCATTTTAGGGTATCTTTTATTAATTTCCTTTAGTTGAACTACTACAGATTGAATTTATATTTAACAACATATCTATTCCATGAAAATTTGACCAGAGAGGTGACACATAAACCGACCGAATGAATCTAATTAATAATAAATTCATATTGGTGACTTGTTGTCATATATTATTTAAATTAAAATACATAATAAGTACATAATTATATATTATTTAAATTAAAGACCACTATTGCTAAGTAATTACGACTATCTCTATTTGTATTTATTGCCAATGAAAGAATTCGAGGTGACAAGAGTTAATACAATCTGATATGTAATAAATTTAAATAAGCCAAACAAATTATTTTTTACATATTCTTACATACAAATAATAAATTAAAATTAATTTGTAGGCCGATATCACTTAAAATAAAAATTTATTATTTTGTGTAAATTTTATATCTGTAATCAGTTTAAAACTTGTTTAAATAATTAAATTATACTGTACACAGTGACGATTAATCTTCAATTTCCAGATGAATAGATGAACATATTTGAGGTATATATTTTTGCATGACCCTGATGCTGTGCTATTCGCATATTCGGTCAAGAGATAAATAATGCAATTTTTTCTGTCTCTGTAACTGATGTTCTTCATGTTACGAGTTATCCAAGCGGATCAAACGAAACATTTCTGTATGTATTTCTGTATAAATAGTATGCGTGCACCAACTTCTTCCTGCCTATCATTTCTGGGGGATTTAACATGAATATACCCATATAATATTTTTTTATTTTAACTATTCGCATTGTGAATTTTGTGACTAAAAACAATGATAATGAACAATGCAGTATCATAATAGCAATTTGAATATTTTCTTCATATAAATTGATAAATATAACATACCTATGTACCGAATATAATTTATCTAATTTTATATATTTCTACATACTCCTTAAATAATTAGAGATTCTTTATTTATACTTTATAAAATAGCCGTATCGTGTAACATAACAAATAAAATTATAGGTAGTATTAATTTGAATGTAATAAACGAAGTCAGATTGAAAGAAAATTGATTAATAGACTCTCAAGAGGTTTAGGAAGTTCAATTTAATACTTATTGTTAGTGCAATACTGTGTTCAATTATTTTTCCTCTTACTATCCTTGATGTGTGCCATGCAAATGGATTAAAGTGTACTTATTTTACTCTACCTCGGCAACACGTTCACGGTTTGCGCCAGTCTCTCTTTACAACTCAAACGTTACGCCGGCCTTTTCCAAAGTTTTTACTCGTACACTGGCGTGCGTCGAGTTGATAAACAAGCACTCGTAACACCATGCTAACTACTGTTTATTTACAAATATGGATCTAAATGTGTGTCGTACTTTGGGCTGGAATTGTAAATTGTCTTTGTAAATAATTGTGCTGCAGAGATGCAAATTAAATTGTTTGTAGAATGAGTGAGATCTGTCAATGATTGATCGTCGTGAACAATAACTGTTTGATGTGTGGTAATTGTGAAATTCTCATAGTGAGAGTAACGATCCTAGTACAATTAGGTTGTAATGATCTCTCGTGTGATGTTTATGTGTGTTGATGCGTATCACAGTTTCTTGTTGCACTATTTACGTTAGGTGAGTATTGTTGAATTATTGATTTTACTGATTATTTTTACAATTTGCTATATCATAGTTTTGATGACAGGTTCGTTCGTTATAATTTTACATAATTCTTCTCTGGAGTTTTGCATATTTAGTAATGGGATTTATAAATGTTAGTGTTTACTTTAAACAGTTACCTACAATGCGATGTAAATAGATAAGTACGTGTTTATAGAAATTAAATGTTTTTATATTTACCACTAAATACCTACTATTGTACAAGAATTGTTAATCATGCAACTATTTTATAATTAATTAGTCAAATATCTTGTCTATACTTCTCGGCTGAATACACGTCCCGAACGTGGGGGTAGAATAAAAAAATGCATATTCAATAGTGTTTAAAATTAAGTTTATTTTTCTAGATTACTGTAGAGTAATTGTTATTACGTACTGATTGATTATTGACATAATCGTTGTTTTTTTATACTAAAAAATACTATAATAGTTGTAGACGACCTCTACAGTACAGAGATGGGCATGATAATTTATTTAAATAAGGTTCTAAATAAAATTTTACAGTATGGTCAATTTAAGATATTTTCTAATTTACGTTTTGAGTTTTCTGGGTTGTAGCTTCTTTCGTTATATGGTTTTTCATTACAGCGGACCGGTCTTATAACTAAATTAAGGCCTTTGATTAATATGTATACAGGGTTTTATATTATTTATAGTAGACTTTTTAAAATGTACCATTTTTTGGTTGAGGTGTAATAAAAATAACAGTGAAATTGAAGGATAAGAAGCATGAAATCTTAGTCCGGAATAGCAACGTATCATCATATTTTCTTTTAAGTACATCTATGTGCACGACAAAATGGAGCCAAAGTTGTGTCGTAAATGGATTTAACACACAATGGTGAATATTTGATTATTTCGTATGTATCATATTGTTTGTGTTCTTTGTTATACATTATTATAATACATATACATTAATACTGTATACTTTATTAATATAATATTCATTACATATAGTAGTTTTTATAATAGAAGCATATGTCTTATGCCAATTGGATTCTCCTACTAGTCGTATTACGGGAATTACATGATAACGTGATGTGTACGTGTACTGTTCATGCATATAGTTGACGGGTACCACACATCGGCAGGTGGGCCGTCAGCTTGTTTGCCATTAAAATTATGTAACAAATAGACATATCAGGTCATTAAGATAATACTCTAGAACCTCAATAAAATAGATAGTACTGAATTATATATGCTACAATTTTTTTAATTTTATTTTCAGATTCTAGTACTATTCTCACAAGTCCTGTAGATACATATATGTATTGTTCCATTATATTGTATGAACTTCTCATACAGACTTAATTCTGAAGGTTTCAAAATACATGTTAAAAGTTATAAATATGTATTATGAATTTTATTTGGTATTATTTTCACTCATTGGTATACATTATCGAAGTCATACGGATCGCTAACGTCTTTAAAATATATTGTCTACTAGCTGTACCTGCGACTTCGTCCGCGTGGAATTTAACTTTATTTTCTAAAATAACTGTAGCCTAAGTTACTCCTTACTACATCAGCTACCTGTCAATAAAAGTCCCGTCAAAATAAATCCAGCCATTTGAGAGGTAACCCGGACCAAACATACAGACAGACAGACCAAAATTGTAAAAAAATGTTATTTTGGCGTATGTACCGTATTTATATTCATATGCATGTAATAAAAAACGGTTATTTTAACATTACAAACAGACACTCCTATTTTATTTATATTAATCCGAGAGATGGTAGGTTGTTCTTTCTCTGCCTCGTATTAAATAGGTATCCAGCGGAATATAGACATGTTAATTATTATGTTTACTGCAAGATGTACTATCTGAGACTACTACCAAATAATATCTGAGAGAGACCATGAACAGTCGCGAAGGTCTGTTATTTTATTTTGACGGCCTCGCTGGTGTAGCGGTTAAGTACACCGCCTTACTTCTGATGGTCGTGCATTCGTTTCCTCGCACGGTACAAACATTTGTAGTCATGAGTATGTTTGTTTGTATATGTGTGGGTGTTTTCTATGTATAATACCTATGAATATACGAAAAAAAACATGTATTTGTATCAGTTATCTAGTTCCCATAATATATAATACAAGCTTTAGCTAACATAACTTCGGGACTAGATAGCGCTGTGTGAATTGTCCTGATATATAAAAAAACCTAGCTATCTGTCACGCTAGATTTCTTAAGGGGTAGGTAGAGAACGAATCTGTATAGCTGCTTCAAAATCTGTATCTGCTTATATAGGGCTTGGGGAGAAATGGCACTATTTTAATAGCTTAAGTGAGTATACGTTTTCTCTATCTGTAATTATTTTTAATAATTGCTTTTATATTAAAGGTTATATATCAAATAAGGTCCTGACCTCTAAAATTATCAAATTATATGTGGAATAGAGCCTTTAAAACAGTTACATTATAATGTAACTAGTACTACTAAGGATATTTTGTAGTCTCCTTAGCGATTATTTTGAGCTCAAAATACTTCGTAGGTAATAATTTACCTGTCGCAATTTTAATCCACAAACACTCACGAAAATTATGTACTAATTATTTCACATTTTTGTAATTAGAACAACAAACAAGCTGAAAGCCCACCTGATGATAAATAACACCTGTGATATTATGATAATATAGTGGTATATGCATTAGCATTTAGGAGGACATGCCTCTCACCCTACTACCGAAAAACCTGAGATGGTTCCCATAATTCTAAAGAATACGATATTTTTAACGTTGGAAAAGATCACTTTTATATGCTAATAATATTTTTTAATTAATATTCTATATATATGTATACAGATATGTACCGAGAACCAAAATCTAATTACCTTTCCTCCCTTGTTTGAGATTTCTTTAAATTAACAAAAAACTTCCACATTTCTCATATTATTCTCCACTATCACTATTATTCATTCCATAATTTATATGCTAAATGTTAATTCTGTATAACCCAAAAACAACAGTCATATTATGGAATGCAAAAGATAAATTTATATTTAATCTATTGGATTTCATAATTTTATGTTAACATACACTACTTAGGACTGAACGTCTAATGTGCACTTCAGGCATAGTACTTAAGTACCTACATGTATCTTTCCACATGCGCGGGTCCATAGTTATGAAGGATTAATGTTAAGAGGGGTAAAGGACTCGTATTTGGTGAGAACAATAGGTAGATATACCGGCATAGCAATTAATTATAGATATATATTTGCAGGAATATTAATATACGGGACGAGGTAAGTCTAATTTCTATATATATTTTATTTTCCCGCGCAAAACCATTTTCTATAGTGAGACTTAAAATTAATAACAATCTTATTTCACCGAAGCCCTATAAAAATATTTAACTTATTAAATTGTAGTAAAATTTTGGGTTTTAGCCTCACCAGCCCAATCGAGTGGAAAGAAATGAAATATTCTCCTTTATAGGTTTAGAATGCAGTCTTATTGATGCTAAAGTATAGTTATTAGGAATATTGGAACCATTTTTGCGAATATTACGTAATCGAATGTTAGACCCCTTTTAATGAAACGCTGTATAAAATTTCTTTTATTTTGTTATATACACACAATAATTAATAAAGAGGCACCTACTTGTTATAGCGCAATTGAATTGAATTATGTAGGAAGACATTATGTTATAACATACCATTTAATATCTGTAATATTATTTTTCCTATATATATTCCTAAGAATACTTGTTTGAGTGATTGATCTATTTATATATAGGTACTTAGCTTTATAAATCGGTGGTCGGTGCCACGCAAGAAATTAAAAAAGATAATTTATTAAAAAACTTTTGTTACATTTTCTTACTGGAGTGGCAACCAGTCAATCTTTCTATTTTAATTAATGCTAGAAATAACTTATAAGCTAATTGAAATTGATTTTGTAGATAGGATAATTATTATTGATAACATATATTTTAAACACAGGTGAAGCACTGTATGCTTTACTGACTATAGCCTTTTCGGTCAGTGGGTCAATTGCCAAGGTTTCAGTAAATAAAAAAAAAAATACTGATACGAGGTAAAACTAGATTTTTACAGTTACGAATGACTTTATTCGATTCTTAAAAAAGCGCTTAACTTTATTACGATAGGCAATAGTAGATAAAATATTGAAATGTTTAAAATTAAAGTTAAATGGCGATGTTGCTGAATACCTTATAGTAACTATTACGAAATTATAATTATTATCAGACATAGTATAAATATATATATTTCTGGAACGCGGTGGAAACCTTAAAAATATAAACAAATCTATTATTTGTCAACTAAAAAGTCTTACAGCGAATAATAATAGGATTTCAATTGTGAGATTTACATATATATACAGTACGGGTCGTCCCCATTCTGTATTTTTGTCCGGATTGTGTATATTTTAGTTGGCATTATAAATGGACTTAAAAAGACAAACGCAAACTGTTTAATGTTTATAGCTATTTCCCAGAATTTCACCATGCTGAGTTTGTTATCTACTGTTCCCTTGGGAATTTTAGGAAATCACTTCTAAGTATTCACTTACGTTATTCATAAACCTTTGTTAGAGAGATGTCTACAAATACAGAATTTAATGTTTACGTAATCAGTTTCTCTTTTTGCTGAAATAAATAAAAGAGTTGAAATTGAAGGTCTCGGTGGTGTAGGAATTTAGCATACTTCCGATTTCCGATGTATGCTGGTTCAATCTTAAAAAATAGAAACCTTTGTAATAATTTTATATCTACAAACTGTACTCAGTTCAAATTTACTTCTACTTATTTGATAAAATATCACCTTCATTACTACTAGGTAATTAGTAGTGATGTGTAAGTCATTTATAGAGATTCCGGGTTTTTTTTTATATCAGGATACATTACAAACTCGTAATTGATGGTATTCATTCAAGTGTAATTGTATTCTATGCTTTCAAGGGTATCAAGAGGTATTTGGAATACCGGATC